CTCGGATGAGAGACGAAACGTTTCTACATTATTTTGTTGATTTGCTTTGTTTTGTTTTTTTGAATGTCCAGAGGACCAGATTTAACTTTTTTAGATTTTTCTACCTGGATTATTGAGCATGCATCAGGATATGAAGGATGGATAGTGAGGGAGCGAGCAGCGTGTCACATTAAGAAAAATGGGAATGAGGCCCCTTGACTGTCTCTCCTTCCTTTTCTCGGTTCTCAAAATGGCGAACGCTCGGTGTGTTTTGAGCTCTTTAGCATAGCATTTGTCATGCAAAGCTATTTAATTTTTAAAAAAATCAGTAAACAAGTTCTCAGCTTCTTTTTGCAGAGAAAAACAACTTTTTAGACGAAGTCACGGGTTTCAACCGTGAATTTTTGAGCTTTGACAAGACGGAGGATTTTTTTTCTCCCCGAGGTCGGCCTGTTAGCTTAGCTCGTAGCTTAGCTTCTCAGCTTAGCTGCTTTTAACAATCTAAAAACGCCATTTTAGGACAGTTAAAACTGGTTTTAAAGAGAGTGAAGAGCACCGGAGTTGAGCCTTTTGTCATCCAGTGTCTTCAGTAGAAAGAGACACAAAGAAATGATGAGGCTGATAAATGAAAATGGGATCGGTAATTTTCGTTTATCATGCGATTGATTGATTGATTGTTTATCGCGACAGGCCACTTCACTTCCTGCTTTTAAATCTCTCCTAAAACAAACGGCGTGATTTGATTTAGTATTTCATTGTTTCTCATTGTTTTTGTGTTTTTATTTTTGATGCGTTTAATTACTTCTTGTTATTATTATTTTTCCTTTTTTTTTTTACTGTGAAGCACTTTGGTAACAGCTGCTGTTTTAAATGTGCTTTAAACTGTATTTTTCGGACTATAAGGTGCACCGGATTATAAGGTGTGCTAAGCGAAACAAAACAGATAAGTCAAACTTTATTCAATTCATTCACAATAACCACATAAAATCAGTTCGAGGTCAGTAAGCACAACCTGAATTAATACATAAGGAGCACTTGATTATAAGGCTCACTGTCGATTGTTGAGATAATTAAAGGATTTTAAGTGCGCCTTATAGTCCGAATAATACGGTAAATAAATTTGACTTGGACTTTAATAAACAAACACCGGAAATGAGGGATTTACCCCACAGACTTGGCGGATGTTCGTCAAAGGGTTTTATTTTGTAGGGGGGAAAAAATCAGTCCGTGAAAAGTTTTAAAACATTTCTCAAATAGTAGCAGAAACTTGGATTTAAACCCCCAAACAGCACGAATGGGCCTTAAGATAAAGAAAACAAACACACCTATATCATAAAAATAATTCAACGCACTATAAAACGCAAAACAAAGGTGTTCAACTTCAAAACTAAAACAAAAAATCGTGTTAATGTTTATCCCTGTCTGTCCAACATGAACCTAAACTAATAATGCAAAAAGCTAAATGTCTCAAAAACACATTAAATGTGGTGATAAACGTGGCAACATAAAGAGCTTAATGTATTTGTAAATCAAATTAAAAAGTTTAATTTTTTTAAATCTGGCATCAAAAACATGAAAGTTTGTTCGAAACTTTAACATACAAACTAAAATAAATCTAAAATGCAGAATAAAATATAGTACATAGTTATATTCAGATTAATTCAGATTTATCTACCATCTTGGCAACAAAAGGCCTAATTAGATTTTAGTTACAGCTTTACTTTTCAAGCCTTTAATTTAAATGTAATGTATTTTTGTGTTGTTTTAAGTTCAGACATGAGTTTAAACATGAATAAAAGCAGTTTGTTACCCTCAGTCTGCTCTTGTACAGGTATTTGGTCCTTCCAGATGAGTCCTTGATCTCCTTGCTGAAGATGAGTGACAGCTCAAACAGGAAGAGGTGTCGGTCCCGCCCCTTTCTTATCAGAGACTTGGGCTCCCAGACCAGGAAGGTGTCCTGCAGGAGGAGCTCTCCCTGGACCTCCAAACCCTCCTCCAGACCTGGCAGGTACACCACACCGGGGACTACATTTATGTCATTTCATTTAACTTCACAATAAAAGCTAGAAAGTAATTTCATTCAGCTTCATGCTCCGTCACAATAAAAGTTTTAGGGTTAATGTGGTATTGGCGTGTTACCTTCCAACATGCTAACATGCATGGCGTCGTTTGCTCTCTTTGGGACACTCAGCATGACATCCAGGCCTTCCTTTATCTCTCCTTTCCCTTCTTCACAGCAGGCCAGCAGCTCCTGCGAACACAGCAAAACAGTCCTGATAATCAATAATCAATATTTACCAGAAACCACCACACTCAGATAAACGCTCTCCTCAAAATATTTCTATTTTTAGATGTCTATAAATACAAACTTTTTAAATTACTTCTACAATTTAAATGTAAACTTATGTTTAAATATGTGTTATGAAAATATTAAAATTTTAAATATGGTAAAACTAGAGAAATTGCTCTATTAGCTGAAAAAGCTAAGTTAAGGACAAAAACATCTAAAAGGTAGCTGAAAGAGCTGAAAAAGATGAAACTAGCTGAAAAAGCTGAAAGCATACCAAGCTGAAATTAGCAGTAATAAGTTAATTAGGCTAAAAGTAGCAATAATTACAATAAAAACTTGAATTTATCTTAAAACAGCTGAAATTAGCCACACAACAAAACAGCTAAAACTAGCTGAACGTAGTAGTAGCTAAAGTAGCTAAAAAAGCAGACACTAATTAGCAGAAAGAAGTGGAGAGAGCACACTTTTGCTAAATTAAATTAAGCTTAAAAAGTTTAAATGAGTGCAAAAAATGTTGAATTAGCTGAAAAAGCTAAAATGATCATAAAACAGTTATATAGTAGATGAAATAGTAAAAAAAAAAAAAAAGCTGAAACGCAGAAATAAGCTGAAAGGAGCATAACAAGCTGAAATTAGCAGAAAGAAGTTAATTAGGCTGAAAGTAGCAAAAATTGCATCAAAAATCTTGAATTTATCTTAAACAACTGAAATCAGAAAAAAAAAGCTCAAAAAAGTAGCTGAAAGGTAGAACAAGCTTAAATTAGCAGAAGAAAGCAGAAAGAATGTTTGCTGAAAAAAGCAGAAATGAGCCTATAAAAGTGGAAATAATCTGAAAAAAGCTGAAATTACAGTAGCCAAAAAATCAGCTAAAATTAGCTAAAAGTAGTAGTAGCTAAAGTAGCTAAAAAGCAGAAACTAATTGGCAGAAGGAAGTGGCTTTTTTTTGCTAAATTAAGCTGAAAAAAGTTGTAATGCATGCCAAAAAATGTGGAATTAGCTGAAAAAGCTTAAATAAGCATAAAACAGTTATTTAGTAGCTGAAATAGTACAAAAAAAAACCTGAAACTTGCAGAAATAAGCTGAAATGAGCATAACAAGCTGAAATTAGAAAATAGAAAATTGTTGAAATAGCTTAAAAACTGGGGGAAGAGAATCGCACCGAAAAACGTATGAAAGAAAAATGGATCGCAGTAGGGTGAATGCTTCATAAACATTCATACTTGAATGTGATTAATGTGAAATATTGTTACTTTTATATTTAAATATGACTAAAACAGTGTGAGCTCTTGATACAAACCAGGAAAATCCCTTTCATATGAAAAAAAAAACTTACATTAAGTTACAAATAATTCACTAAAAGTGACGATCTTCCAGCGGTGTTGAACTCAGTTACCAAAAGGAGCCAAAATTATAAAACGTTCAGCTGATGCATTAACTCGAGTCAGATACCTGATATCTTTTCTTGGTTGCAGGTTCATGAACAAGAGTTTGATCTGTCTCACTTGACGTTCTGTTGCTCGTTCCACATCAGAATCGGTAATGATAAAATGATCCAACCATCTTTCTGGCTTCAAAGTTAGCCAGCTGCCAAGAGAAGTCTATACTAAAAGATATATTTATCAGTTTTTTAAAGAAAAAATTAGAAGAGATACAATATTTTCCATTTAAATGATCATCTTGGGGCACCAGATTTAGTTGATGCTGGTGTCACTTCTGTTGTCTTTTATAAAGTAACACTTTCAGCTGTTTTCTCTGAGTTCTTAGTATTTTGTTCAGTTTCAGTCAGTATTTGAATTTATTACAGAAACATTGAAAGTATTAATATAGAACTAAATGTGTAGTTCTGCATCAATGCCTTTCTGCTGATGATAAAAACTTGTGCGGTGGAAAAGAGGAATCGAAAGTTTCAGCTACATTATGCAACAGCTGAGCTCATATTACAGCAGAGATTTAAACCAGTGTGTGGCTGCTGACAAGCTGTTTGGCTGAAAGCTAAACATCATCAGTGATCTGTTTTCTGAAAGAAAAGCAGCCGTAAGTTCTGACACGAAGAGGTTCTGTTACCTTTAGCAGCAGCTGGTACTTGGTGATCCTCTGGACCGGCTTAATTAGAGCTGAGGAGATGGAGTTGGCCAGACCGTGTCTCCTCTGGACTTCCTGTGTCAGACAAAAAACTGTGCGGGTCAGTACTCCACAGCGTGGACGTCCACTTCTGTCCATTCAGTTAAATTCTTCAGAGAAAAAGAAGTTTCACTTCTTCAAGGACAGTGACTCATTGTAAAACTTATATTATTCCTGTCATTTCCACGAAAAACATGAGAAAAAAAAAAACGTGTTGGTTTTGTTACGTACCTTCTTACGTTTACTATCTCTAAATGTCTAATATAAACATTCTCTGATGAATTTTTGTAGTATTTCCTGATGCATCTCAAAGTGAACAAAGACTAAAACCAGCACATATGATGCGTTATAACATATTTAACATTTTATTAACTTTTCATGAATTACCGGAGACTTTTACCAGACGTTTTTCCCTTTATCACCCACCACCATGCATGGCGTGCATGTGGGTGTCTGTTTGTCTGTCTGTTAGCAAAATATCTCATGTACCACTGAACAGACTTTAATGGAACTCTCCAGCACTAATCATTCAAGATGGCTACAGATAATCAATCTTAATAAGATTGGACGAAGCATCTCGTTTCTCCCGTCGTTCAGAAATGAAGCCAGAATTTATTTTTGGGAGCTGCCATATTATATTTTTTGAGTCAGAGTCACTTGGAAATTGCGATTGTTCCCTTGATGTGAAAGCCTCCCAACTCACTAACAGGCTGTCAATCAAAGTGTGACATGACACTTTTCTTTAAACCTCTAATATTTAATAAAATGAAACGCATAAAAAAGGATATACGAATAACAGCAACAAGGTAAGAGCTACATGACTCATCAAAAATCAACAGCTAATTATTATTTTTTTGTATAGTCAAGCTAAATGTTTCATTTTTCATGGAGGGGGTGTGGCTTGAAAACTGTACAATGTCCAGCCATTAGGGGGCGCTCATACTTAATGGTTTCAACTTTCATCTGCACGTCCTCTCGGTAGTTATAGTATACAGTAGTCCCTCAATACTTCGTTGTTAGCGGACTCACTGTTTTGTGGGTTTTCACCGTAAGATTGTACACTTTGTTTCCCGGTAGCCTGGCCGGGTTAAGGCTCGGTTCGGGTTGCACTTGATTATTTTAAATAAACAATCCATGCCGCTCACTCTGGTATCTGCCTCACTGAAGGGCAGGAAGGGGAAGTTTGAGGTTGTCATCATTGTACGTTCCCATGCAATGGCAAAATTTGTTCTTTGCATTTAATCCATCACATGTGAGATACACCGTGGAGCAGTGGTTAGCTATGTAAGCACCCGGAGAGCAATTAGGGATTAGGGGTCTTGCTCAGAGACACCACAACATGTGGGAATGGCTGAGAGTCTAACCATGACTTGCTGGTCCAAAGTCGGCTGCCTACCTCTATCCTATCTTGGCCCCCACATGGAGAAAGACAGACCCCATCCACTCCTTTCTCTTTCTGAGGCTCAAAAGAGAAAGGAGGGGGCGGGGTCTATCTTCCCCATCGCTGCAGTGGGAGCGTCAGTGATTACCAGTGGATACCAGAGTGAGCGGCATGGATTATTTATTTAAAATAATCAAACGCGACCCGAACCGAGCCTTAACCCGAGCCGGGTTCGGGAAATGTCCCAGAGCTCCCGATTGCCAGTCCACCCCCGGGCACTGACTGGCTCAGTAATCGTAGCATCAATCTGTCTGCTCTCTTTCGCTGTGCTCTTTTAGAGTGTTTAGAGAGTTTGGAACATTCTTAAAAACATTGTAAGAGTGTGGGAAGGGTTTATAAAGCCTTAAAATATATATAAATACTAAAATAAATGTAACGTCCCTACTTTGCGGATTTTCACCTATCGTGGGGGCAATGTAACCTCTGCGATCAGTGAGGGACTACTGTATCTCAATGGCGTAAATGTGGTGTGGTAGTGGTAGAGCACTGTAGTCATCCCAAACACTAGTGCTAACTCCTCACATAAGATCTTTCCTTAGAACTTTTGGTAATGAATGCAGTAAGCAATATGTATCTATTAAGGAATGTAAGTTTCTATTTTATAACAGTCATTCAATGACAACCCCATCTACTTGAATTCCGGATTTGGATTGTCAACTTTCAGGATGTGCTGTAACTCCATCAGACCCAGACGTCCATTTTAAACCCCAGATAGTGAGTAAAGTTGTCCTGACATGCCAGATTTGACTTCTTAGCATTAGCTTTATCTGAACTTAAGTGAACTTCTGCGGATTCCTTGGTGTACTCAACATGATGAATCTAGTTTTTTTTTTCCAGCAGTAGAAACCGAAGGGTTAGCCTTCTGTGAAATCCATCCATTTAGATTTAATGAATTGCATCAGCTGCCCCAAAATTTATTTAAAATCTAAAATAGTACTCAGTAATATAAACTCATTTATGTTGGGATAATACAAGACCAATGACAGAATATGATACCCTACAAAGTTATTATGCATTGGGGCGGCTGTGGCTGAATGAGTAGAGCACTCGAACCTCCAATGCAAGAGTTGGGGTGTCCGACTCCACCAGCAGTCACATGCCGAAGTGTCCCTGGGCAAGACACTGAACCCCTCATTGCCTCCGATGTGTGTCCCATCAGTGTATGAATGTGATAAAGCACTGATTAGTCTCTTTAGAATGATTTATTCGATTAGCTTTGTATAGATCTAGTAGAGTGCTGTATGGATGGGTAAATGAGGACACAGACTGTAGTGCTTTGAGTATCTTGATAAGATAGAAAGGCGTTATATACAGTAAGTGCAGTCTATTTACCGTTTACTGTGAGGTTATTAAGAGATTATCCTGTGGTAAATCATGTTTTAAACTGACCTCAAAGAAAGCCACGCCATGCTGTTGGATCAGTAAACTGGAGTCTGGTTTGTTCCTGCAGTACGTCACATACATGTGGAACTTGTCAGCCTGAAAACATGACCAAGAGACGTGCACTGTAGTTCAGGAAGCAAAACGTGTTTTTATATTCATTAAACATCCACCAAGCCGCTGTAATTACCCAGGTAACAAAGCAGTGTCCAACGTCTTCAGGAAGCTGTTCGTAGTTCTCCAGTTCCTTTAAGAAAATACTGCAGACACAGAGAGTACAGCATTACTATGACGTGGACCTCATATGGAACCTGCAGACCTCTTAAATGTGCACTACTGATGCACTGCAGTACAAAGATTTACTAAAATGTTTTAAACGTCAAATTAATAATGCAGAATACTGGGAAGAAATTCTACTACACTCTGGATTTATACTATATATATATATATACATATATATATATATATACATATATATATATATATAT